CTTTCCCCTCCCACTCCCCACCTCTGCCAGCATCCCAAGTCCATGGTCATTTCCCCCTCCGCTAATGAAGCACATGTTTCTGTCTCAAACCTATGAAGTAATAAGGATTCCTCAGTCACCATTCTACTTAAAGTTTTATTATCTTTTATGCAATTGATTCTTAATTTGCACGTAGTAGGCACTAAAATTTATAGAATGTAATTGACTTCAAGGGGCATATTATTGCCTTCACAATGGATTTCATTTTGTTCATTCACGAAAACAGAGTTTTCTTCCAAGTTCGTAATGGCATGCATGAACACTGTTGCGTGAGCTGCCTGTCTCCCCACTGCTAGGAAATGGTCATAATGTTTAATTGCACAAAGTGCCTTTTTTAAATTTTTTTCCTCATCAAGAAGTTAAGAGATCTGCTGGCTTAGCAGGTGCCTCAATTGTGCATAATTAGTTGCTAGGAATTGTTTAGCATAAGCTGATTAGTCTCAGCCAAAGGAAATTAAATTTTTTTTCTTCAACAAAGCCCTGAACACAGCTAGAGATTTTTGAAACCACAGTCATATCCGGTTCGTCTGGGAAGCCCAGACCCTGGGAGTGGGAGAGGCAGGAGATGGGGAGACAAGAACCAGCCTGATTACACGTGGGAGCTATTTGATGCCAGGCAACCACTCTAGATCATGACCTGAGGGGACCTGAGTCCATCCCACAAGATGTGATTCAGCTCCAACATGGGCTTTGGTTGTGATGCAGAATGAAGCATGGCTCCTTAGGTGCCTGCTGCTTGCTTTGTGAGTTTATAAAACCAGCTTCACTTGGAATGTAATCAAAACAAAGTCTGTGTTTGCCTCTCCTGTGTTTGGCACTTGAGGAGATTGGCCAAAATGGAGGGAATGATGGGGACAGATGGTTTGCGCCCCTCACCCCATCGTTCCACTCTGTTTTAAATATATGCTGGACTAAGCCTTTTCTGTTCCTCTGTTACAGTGTTGATTTTTCACTTAATGGAGGGGATTTTCTCTTGCCTCGTGGGATAACACTGGAAAGGGTTCCCATGCTCTTCCTGGTTATGACCACTATGCAGCCCCTTTGACAGTGGGTAGCGATCATGTGTGACAGTGATTATCTCTCTGCTAAGATGGCATTAGAAAAGACTGACAGTTCTGTACCGAGATGGGCATAATGATGACTTGCAACATTGACTTCAGTGAGCACTAGCTCACCAGCTGAACGTCTGCTTTGCTCCTATAGTGAATTCCCATAAAGATCCCTTGCTAATACAACCCACCATTAAAGTCATGGCTGGAAGCCTGGTATGAAAGTCAGAATTCTTTTGCTTGAAGGCATTATTTTAAAGATTGTTCAATCAGTCCTCCTATAGTCTAAGTGAAAATTAAAGGAAATATTTAATACCCATTTTGTAAAGAGTCACAGATTTTTAACATGATGTAAGTTAATACTCAGTATCTCTTGGATGGTGTCATTACTTCAAATGGCATAGGCTACACGCCTCAGGAACAAGTCAGAGGTAAGGGGAGGACAGCTCATAACAAATGCTCAGCTTTCTTCAGGTGGCTTACTTACAATAAATGCTTTAGTTTGAAAACTTGGATACAATTCATTCATATATCAGCAAACATTTACTGAATGCACACTGTGTATCTGGTACTATTCTAGAAATATTATCTACTGACTGATTCCTTGTTATTTGGTCAGTTTTTAATTCACATGTAAGTGGATGGAACTTGAAGGTCTAGTTAGTGCCTTACTGATAAAGTGTTAACATAGATCTTATAATTCTATGAAATTTTGAGGCCCTTACTAAGGAACAGTGAATTGTATTAGCACTTTATTATTTTGTTTGCAAAAAAAAGTGAAATAACAAGTATAAATTGGTTCCGTAGTACAATTTAAGTGTAGTCCATTTTAGGCAAACAAATATTCAGAGGAGAGGGGAATGGATTTTATATACACATGTGATATATACACACGGCTGTGATCGCTCATTTCACAGGCTTCTCCATAGGAATTAACTCACATTATGCAAGGTCTCCGCTGGAACGTTGGGTCCATTTGCTTGCCTGTGTGATATAGAAATGTGCACCTGTTAACCTAGCAAATCTCATTGTCCATCCAAGAGGAAATTCATAAAGAGGAAAGAGTTTGGGAATAAAAATACAACAAATGCAGTCTATATGTACTCTAGGTATGTCCTATAAATTTATCTCTCTGGGCCTCAAGCTCTAACTATAAAATGAAAGAGTGATCTAGATCATCTCTTACAATCATGAAATGCTAGTGATATGTCTACAAATGTCCATTAAAGGCCGCATGAGAAACTCTGACAGAGGGTTCCATAGCTCTCCATGACTTTATGCTCAGGGATTAAAAATATACCCCAGGCATTTCTGTCCTTTAGCATCCCATTATGGGACCATCTGCCACCGAATCATTCAGTGTCTTCCCTCCACTTCTATTTTCAAACAAAGTTTGAATCAAGGGTTGACACTGAGTGAATCACATGATGAGAGTTAATGTGTTCATTGTGTGATAAGTTGCATTTTATAAAAAGCTCATAACACCTCTTCCAGGCTTAAAATGAAGAGGTGTTCTTAGGAAAAGTTCCTCTACAACAAATGTGAAGTGATGCCCTGCTGCTCTGTTGCTGTGCTGTCCTTTTACTCTCCTGATAAATGTTGCCAAGATTCTGCCTCACTCGCATTAGGAATTATTGCTTTCACCCTGATGGACTTTGGCAAGCTATTTTTAGATAATATAGAACTTATTGCAGTCTGGTTCTTCGACCAATACAGCTTTTGGCTTCTAGATGATTGTCTACTTCTGCCTATCTTGGTGAGGACACTGAGCGATGAGAATGAGGACGGGCGCAGGGGGTGGAAGCTGGCCAGGTGGCCGTCCACAATTCAGTTTCAGCCTCTGAGGATGTGCATAACTAGACTATCTCAGCTCTATTTTCAAATGCAGTATACTCATAAATGAGAAAAGAATTTCACCAGGGTTGACTAGTTCTGTCATACAAAATGTGTAATTTTTAAAAAATGGTTTCTTAAAATAGAGTATCAAGTACAAAAAAAATCAGCATCTCCTGGGAAAATCTCTTACTGCTTTTAAAGAAATCTAACACTGTATTCAAACCAAGATTTTAATTGGCTGGACTCTTGACAAGTTGAAAACTGAAGAAAACCTTTAGCTTTCCAAGATGCTATCACTAAAACTGGTTGTTATGATCTGTATCCCCAGCCCAGTGCTCTGTACTCATATATATACTGTCCCAAAGTTTGGGGATAATAAAAGAAAATATATTTTAATGGGCTTTATAAAGAAGCCAGATTTTAACACATAGTAAATGTGTTTTAGTAGATGCTGTATATATGTAAAGCACATCACCTGGTTATTAAGTCAGCACTGTGGAAAGCACTCAAATGCTCAGGTAAGAATGGTGGGGCGAATGGAGACTTTTGTTTTGCGGTTTGTGATTATACTCAAAACTGCATTTGCAAAGTAAACAGTCAAAGGTCGAGGTTACCACTGCATAAGCAAAAGTGGTGCTGTTGATTGGACTGGTATCTGAGAGTTGGTAGTTTATGGTTACAAAAATATAAAGAATTGTGTGACAAATGGATTATAAACATAAAACAGTGTGACTTCCATTTTTTAAAGTTAATTGCAGTTTACAACAGTGTTAATCTTTCCTTCTTGTCATTGCTTAGAAAGACCTTGTTAGTTTTTATGAAGAAATCATAAATCATTCCAACCAGAAGTATGTCCTAGAGAGAAATCAAGTTGCTCAATTTTAAAGCACAAACCACTTAGTTGGGAGAATTAATGTTTTCACAGGACAAAGCCTTGTTGCTGAATTAAATCCCTGTGACATTTAGTAGTTTGCCAAGCACAATGTGGTTCTTTTCAATCATTTGATGATTTCCTATTTTAACAACAACAAAGCAACCTTATAGTGTCCAGAAGTAACATTTGGGTCATCTAGCCTGACTAGATGTGCTAAATAATTATTTCATGTTATTTTTACTGAGACTACATACATCCTCATCTTTACTCAAACATCTCTTTTAAACAAATGTCCGCATCCAGACTAGGAAGAATTCTTCTTTTCTACTTTAACTTTAATATTCGCCATCCTAGATCATTAATCCTGTGTTCCAAGCCAGTAAATTCTTTTCTATATTTAACAAAATTATTTTACTCAAATTTGATGAATCCATCATCTCTAACATCTTGTCACCTACTTTGCTTCATGCCTACCTCTCACAGATATACTGAGCTTCTGTCTTTTCAGTTGTTTTTTTTATGGTTCTGCAGATTATTTTCATCTCTTTCTAAAAGGCAAATCGGCTCACTGCAGTGTACCTCTTCTTTTGCCAAACCATCATTCCTTCCCTGCTCTTAACCTCCCTCCTCTGGTCTTACTCTGAATGTCCCTGTTTCCTCCATTGGGCCCTGGATGCCAGTTCACACTTTCTAGAACCCACTAACTCTGTTTCTTTATTTCCCTGCAATACTAATAACCTGTCATCTGCTTATCTGAAATATAACATTTCCTTTCATTTCCTTTGTTCTTCTACCTGATTATTCTTAGTGCCCACTGAGCCATTTTATTCCTTCTCTGCCTTCCTGTTTCTGATATTCACTGATACTTATTTGTCAATGAAAGTAGCCCACAGGCAAATAATTTGCATTTTATATTTGCATACTTCTTACCATTTTTGCATTTATGTGCACTATGGCTTGATCCTGACAATCCTAAGAGGTTGAAAAAAATATTCCTCTTTTATAGAAGAAATCAATGTTCAGGGCATTTTCAACAACTTGTCCCACAGCTAAGCTGAGGTCAGTATTGAGGTCTACCATCTCTTTCTACTGTACCATACCATATCACCTCTCTCTGGCAGAAGGACTGGAATCCTCTAAAAATCTTCACTGCATTAGAAACTGGATGGAAATTAACCAAACCCTTCATTGTACCTTTGCAGATGAGAGTCCCTACACTAAATCCGCCAGCCAGACAAAGCCGCCTGATGGAGCATTGGCTGTGAGGAGACAGAGCATCCCAGGTTAGACCAGATTGTTGGATTTTTCAGCTGTTTTACTTTTGCACCCTGTTATTTGGTGATCCTAAAAAATCCCACTTTGGTAATAAAAAGTATGCTATTCCATAGGGCACAGACTGCATTCCATACAACTTGTTCAAACAGTATTCATGAAAGCTAGACTTTGGAAAAGCTTGCAAACTTGTGAGAATTCATCTTGTGTGCAAATTCTTTACGAAGTGACTTGAATTTCGATCAGCTCTCACTCATTTACTAGCTCTCATCTCTGTTTTCAGGGGATGAGTTTTACAGAAGCATCTATTTTCTGAGTCACAACTGAAAGAACAAAGGGGTTCAAAATTGCTATAGCAAATCATGCATGTGCTGAATAAAAATTACTCCTTTCTTCTTGTCTCTTTGAACCTGGATTTACTTCCACTGGACAACTCTTGTAAAATTCTGGAACTTTGTTTCCTTAGGAAACTGTGATTAGGATTCTTGTAGTACTTTAAGTGATACCTGTTTTCTTCAACAAAACATTCTCGAGCAATATCTTTAAAGGTCTTTTCCCCAAAACTTCAATATTTTAAGGCTTTGAATTTGAGAATGAATACCTTCTTAAATTAAAGGAGAATGAAATTAAAAATGTTATTTAAACTTTATCTGAACTAGGTAATGCATGGAAAACTTCTAATGCAGGCAACTATACTTAAAAGAAGGGTTAAAAGCAATAATGCATTTAGAAATTTATAAAAAATAATGTCTTTATATATTTTATACAAGTAAATTGAGTACAGCGCAATCTCAAAGGGTTTTAGACTACAGTAGATTTAGCAATTCAGGAGAAACAAAGCAGTGTTTTCAACATTAAATTGAATGGTTTGGCAAATCTGTCAGTGAAAAGGGAAATTTTCCACTTGAATAAGGAGCAAGCCAAGTTCAGTTCTGAGCAGCCCTGTTTATGATTATTATTTATTTGTATAAGAACTACATGTGGTTATTTTTATTACTATTCTGAACGCTTACATTCATTATGAAAGTACATAGCTTAGGAAGAGGCATATTGTGAATGAGCTTTTAAGATTCTAAAGTAATTTGAACTTAATAATTAGGTGGCATCACCCAGTCCTAAGATTTCTTCAATTCCATCCTATAAAACATCAGTCTTAGTGATGGTCATGTTTAGAAAAAGTTGAAGTCAGCTATGGGCTGTGTTCTCAGCTTTCTCCTTCTCTGCATTAAGGAAGCATTCAAAGTTTGAAGTTCAAGAGTGCTAGTTATCCATCAATTCCTTCTTGTCTTCTCTACATTAGCTGATATTCAGTACTCTTCTGAAGGAAAGAGTGAAGAGAACTCCCCATGTCCTTACTACTTTATATGATACAAAACAAAAGTACACTGATCATCATGTTTTCCTTTCATGCATTCTCCAATGTCATAAACTAAATTGTAACACATGTTTGAGGGCCTGACTTTTCCTTAAAGGCACTGAATTGTTTTTAAAATTACATGTTAGGTATACAGTGGTTGTTCATAATAATCCCTAGCTCATGATACTTAAGTGATTCTTCATTATACAATGTTCCCTTTTGTTCCTCCTTATGACATTTTAAGTCATGGAATCATGAGTCCTTTTCTGTAGGCTTCATGGGTTATCTCCCTGGAATTTGAACATGGACAGAGTTTTTTGTTCATCTCTCATAAGGTAGTCACCAGAAGGGTCAAACTTCTTCAGAGTCTTCTTCATTATTTAGAATAGTCCAAGAAAAAAAGACCTCACCAGCCAGAGAGCTGAGAAAACAAAGTGGTTAATAGCTGATCATTACAATATTTACTATTATCTTTAAGGACAAAAATCAAAGAACTTCTTGGATGCTTCCTAAATGACTTCTGACACTTGGAGTTCCAAACCCTTATTGTTGTCTTAAAAGTACCAATTCTGGTTCTGACCAAAGAAAGGGAGTCTTCCCTGATCGTTAGCCAGGAAGTCACTTAAAAAGGGAACATAACCAGTCACCTACCATGCCTACCTTTACCCCTACTAAGTCCACAAGGGAAAAATGGAAAGAAGAAAAGCGGGGGGGAAAGCACGCTCTTTATCATTTGCTGGCACTTCTGCTGGAAAATCCCAAAGTGTTCTCCTGATAAACTAAGATGGACCACATGGAGCTTTAAGATTAAAATACAAGTTCACAGCCTTTGAGCCTTTCCCCTGTGTTCACCTCCCAACCTTACTTTACTGAAAGGTATTATTACTGCACTGGTAGCAAGGAAAGATGTGTCTAGAGAGAAGAAAGTACACTGAGGAAGTGGAAGAAGGCATAAAGGAGAGCTGCTGTCATTTATCAGCCCTGGAATCCTCCCAGTTCAAAGGCACCACTCAGTGCATAGGCAGCCCCAGGCCATTGCTGCTCCAGTGACTAGGATGTAAGCAAACACCAAGAAGCTATAAAGGAAACCTTAAATGAGCTGTCTTTTCTTCCACTCTCAGTGATCCTAAGATAGTGATTAAATTCAACCATTGAGAACTTTTTCTGATGGAAGAGGCTGGGGAGTGTAGGGTAGTGAAAGGATTTTAAGTTTCTCTATCCACGTTTTATGAAAGCTTAGGCTGTTCTTTGAAACTTGTTCTACAAATGTAGACCTGTTACTTCTGGAGTAAATATTTATATACATATAAGTAGGAAAAAATTTCTTAACATGGGTTCCACATTTCTCATAGCATAATGAAGAATACCTTTTAATAATTATGTCCCGAAAAGGTAACCTTGAATATTAACAGAGATATAATTTGCTTTTCATTCATATCAAAATTTACTACTCCATCTAAACTCAAAATTACTACAATAATTATTTTATAATCACAAGTCAAATATATGCCCACATTAAATAACAATTCTAAGTGTAATCCCTCAATGCCCTCCTTTGCTCCACTCAAAAAAGAGAGAAAGAAAGAGAGAGAATGGATTAAACATCTCTTAAGAACAAAATACATTTGCTTTGATTAAAGGGTAAATGCATTATTCATGTTATTTGGAAACTCACCATTTTAATCATGTCTCTCATGGCATAAAATGTATAAGAAAAAAGATTTTTAATGTTATAGTTTTACAAAATTTTAATAATGATGATGGTAAAAAAATGATGAGTGTTCCTATGATATTGGAGTTTAAATTTAAAGACATAACATTTTGGTAAAAAAATATTAAGGATGAATATTTTTAATCTCATTTATACTCATTTTTTTCCAGAGAGGTGAATTTCAAGTGTAAAGGTATTTTTAACTAACACACATCTATGTTTATTAAAAAGAATCTATTGATTTGATTCTTTTTTATTTGACAGATTACTGGTGTATTAAAGTTTGACCACTTGAATGGTTTGTCCAAATTATTAGACGAAATTTGTATAGACTCTTGGTTTGACAGTTTGCAATAATTTGTGGCTTTACCCAATTGGAGATGAGGCAGTTGATCATGTCCATTTAGTGTTAGTGAAGGGAAGACAGGATGCTACACTAGACCTCAAAGACTAGAATTTGTGTATTATTTGACTTGCTTTCTCTTTCCGGGTAGGGTAGCTTTCTTTCTTAGGCTAGTCTTGACAAAGAATTCTGGGCAATTTACAAATGCAGGATGATATCATATCTATTGCATTTGCAAACTTTGGTTTCCCAGAAAAAAATATCTTAACTGTGTAGCCAGAATGAAACAATAAATTATGTGTGGGATTTTTTTTCCTTCCAGAATATATAGGAAAATACAGATCAATTTGGTCCTATAGAATAGAGTTGATATGAATAAAGCCTTTTTTGATCACATTTGGGTATTTGAAGGGAGTAAAAATATGAAGCTGATTGTATGAAATGTTTACTAGCCCAAGATATATACACTCAAGCTGTTTTGAATACATCCAGGATCGTCAACACCTGCTGAAAAATCAAAGTCTGGAAAACAATACAGCACCCTTGGCACCATGGAGAAACTGACCACCTTGACTTCAGGAGAAAGGGCAGGAATTTTGAAGGTTCCGCCCTCTCTTTTCAGCATTTGCCTCTCTTTGTTAGCACACAATTTGACGGTTCATTGGTCTAAATTTTCATTATTAGAGCAGGTATACAGTGTGGCATTTGCAGTAAGATTTTATAGCTGTAGCACTGTTTGGGTGTATGAAGGTCAGTTACTCTGATTTTCAGGCCTGGTTCTGCTTCCTCTGTTTAGTTCCACCATTGAACCCCTCCCAGAAAATGGGTTAGTTTCATGGAGAGGAAACCAAAGTCAGTTGAGTCAAGCAAGTGTGAAATGTCATACAAAGAGTAGTGCTGTGCAGTGCATATTATAGAAAATTATCATTTTGTACACTTTAATTATCTTACCTTTTTTTTTTCAGTTACACCTTAATAAAGCTAGGAAAAAAGTGGTAAAGGGCCATTGTATTTGCAATGTATTCTCGAATGATTTAGAAAAAATAAGTGTCTCTGTATGTGTGGATGAAGGAGTGCTTTACAGTGTTCCTGCAACTCATGTTTTTCCTATTATTTCAAAATAAATTCTTTTAAAAAACCATGGTGTGCCCAAAGTTCTCAAGTCAAATTCTACTATAAGTGAGGGAATGACCCACGTGGCAAAATACCAAGGGACAAGGATCTTTGCTACTCAGGCTGCCCCTACATCCTCAAAAGCTCCCAGTGGGCCCGGGCAAGTACATCAGGGACTAAGGTCCAGGGTGTGCCCCAGAGGAGCCCTCAAAGTCAGCTTTAAAAACTCAAAACACTAATGTTTACATGTGTTAAAATTACTGAATATTTAAGATGGAGAGATCCAAGATGGCAGAAGAGTAACTGAAAGCTACACTAGCCTCCTCCCAGGACCAATCTTGAATTACTACTAAATTGTACAGAAATCATCTTGAATAATGAACTGAACACTAGCTGGAGAGAAGCCTTACAACCATGGACAGACAAAAGAAACACTTCAGCACAACATGATTGTTAGGGAGTACAGAGGAGGCATGAGAGAGCTGGC